AAGCCTATGCAGAACAGCAGTGGAGACAGTGCATTGCCTTGGTATATGCCACACTTGATGGCCACTTGTGCGGGCTGTTTTGAGTTGACTTCCAGTGTTGTCTTCCACAGTCCTATTGAGTTCTGGAGGAAGGTCCTTAGTGTCCTGTTGACTTTGTATATTGCCAGGCTTTCACAGATCCATGTGTGTGGCATTGAGTCATAGGCTTTCCTGTAGTCAATCCAGGCTGTGCTCAGATTGGTCTGTCTAGACCTGCTCTATCTATGAGCAATTGGTGTTTTGAGCCCTGGTGTTGTTCCCAATGCACTTCTGAGCTGTGGTCATGTACTGGCCCATATGGTCCTGTAGCTTGGTGGTTATGATGTCTGATAGGTCTTTCCATGTTATGGGGAGGCAGGTTATTGGCTGGTAGTTGGACAGTGCTGTTCCCTTATGGGGGTCTTTCATGATCAGCATTGTCCTTCCTTGTGTTAGCCAGTGTGAGTGGGAGCCTGCTGCTAGCAACTGGTTAATCTAGGCGTTCAAGCACTGCTGTTAGTTTTTTTAGCCAGCAGGTGTGGATCATGTCCAGGCCAAGTGCCGTCCAGCTCTTCATGTTCTTGACCCACTGTTGGATGTCTGATACTGTGATGGTGACTGGTTCCTGTTCTGGGAGATTGCTGTGGTCTGCTCTCAGGTTCTGCAGTCACTCCGCACTGGTGTTATGTGTCTTCTGTTTCCCCCATATATTCTTCCAGTACTGTTCAGTTTCTGCTGTTGGTGGCTCTGCTGTTACAATGTTGTTGCACTGCAGTTGGGAGTACACCTTGGATGGTTCTTTGGAGAACAGGGCATTAATCTTCTTGGCCTCTATTTTTCTAGTGTATCTCCTTAGCCTGGCAGCCAGTGCTGTGAGCCTTTGTTTAGCAGTCTCTGGGGCTTCAGATAGAGTCAGGCCCTTGTATTTTTCCAGTAGTCGAGTCTTATCCTTAATCTCCACACGCTTCCGTAGCTCCACCAGCTGACTAACTTCTCTCCAAGTTGTCTTGATCTTAGCCTCCAATCTTATTTTCCGGGAGAGGGGGTAGATCTGTTCTTTTTGATCATGTAGCCAAGCATCTCCAGATTACAGCAGCTGTAGTGTATACAGTTCATTGGTTTGAGTTATGGTGGTAGTAGGGGTTGTTGTGGGGGCTCTATTGGCATCTTCTAGCATACTATGTGATGGTACTTCTCCACTGAGCCTTGATAATCAGTCTCAAGTATTGACTGTAGCTAGTTTATCCATGATCCTATGCCTCATATCAGCTGCTGTGCTCTGTAATGGAGGAGGTGGCAGTAACATTCCATCTTCAAGTGTTGGCTGCACATCCAGTTGTTCTTTCAGGTCTTCTTGAGTCTGGGATGTAATGTGTAGTTGGTCTGTCTCAAGTTGTGAGAACAGCTTCCTCTTCGCTATGTTGAAGCGTTAGGTAACTAGCTGTTTCTCAATTAGCATGGATGTAGGCCTTCTGTTCATCCATACTTCCCTCATGCGTTTCATATATCCCCTCTCATTAGGTCCCCTGTTGTAGTAGCATTCCATCAATTCCAAGTTCTCTTGTCTCATCCAGGCATGGTTTGTTCCAGTAGCCTATTTATTGTCAGGTTGTCCTGGTTCCCCAACATCTGGCACAGACCTTGTTAATCCTGGTGACGTTCAAGGTGGCATGACTCTCCTAGTTCTCATATCTGAGGTAGGCAGGTGAAGCATTAGGGGGTCTTTGCCCAAGGCCCCCTACTGATAAGGTAGGTACCAGCTGGGATTCAAACCTCAGTCTCCTGCATCAAAGGGTGGTACTCTAACCACTACACCATCCAGCCACTAAACTCTGTACTTAGACAGCATTTCATTTTTATTTATGCATTTATTATGCTAATTCCCATGATCTCCATGTACAAAACAGGTACCTTTTGATTTTTATTCTTCAAATATAGTTGTCAATATGAATCAGCTGTCTTATTAAAAGATAATGGATCTGCATGTCATCTGTTCATCAGAGGAGGTCAACTCTGACAAATGGTCCACAAAGTGAAACTAGTGTTTCTGTGGGACAGAAATCTTTAGAACACTTCTCTTCTTTGAATATCCCTTGCTCCTTGTACAGCAAAGCACCTTTTTCCACCTACAAAGAGGATAATGGCTTGAATGACTGCCTGAGATTGGACTTCTCTTTTTCAGGTTTTACATCTGCTGTGACAGGCCCTTCAATGCTGGAGGCTTTCCTTGGCAAATCACTGTCTGTGAAGTGTCAATACGCAGATGGTTATCAAAACTACAGAAAGTACTGGTGCAAAGGCTCTAACTGGAAGTACTGTATCCCAGTTGTTAAGACTGACAAGACAGAGAAAGAAGAGAGGGCTGAGAGAACTGTTATCAGGGACAATCAGACACAACTTGAATTCACTGTGAGAGTGGAGAACATCACAGAGCAAGATGCTGGCATTTATTGGTGTGCCATAGAAAGAAGTGGATTTGATCTCAGTTCTGAAGTAAACATTATAGTAATCGCAGGTGAGTCTTTTTGCCAAGCACTATAGGAAGTTCAAAGCCTGTGAGAGGTTGTGGAAAAGCAGGGGCAAAGTCATTGAATGTTCATCTTAAAAAAGGCAACCCAGGCCAGCTGCTGAGAGATATGGGCGAAAGCCTTTCAAGGGGACTCTGCATTAGTTAACTCACTGTAACTAAGGAGATCACTGTTACAGTTTTCAAGATTGGGCATCGACCCCAGGCTAGCGTTAAGAGACCTTCATGAAATCCAGGCTGGCCATGCTTCCTTGGCCTTGCCAGTTTTGTGGGGCTTGACAGATTGAAAAGAGGAAAAAAAAGCCTGATTCTGTGCACAAAGCATGAGCACCTTATATTTCCATTATTTTAAAGAACCCATAATAGGGTATAAATATGTTGAGATTCTGAGAATTCCTTGCTTCTCAGTGCAAGAATATTATGTCTCTTAAACTTATATGATAAACATTAAAGGAAGCTGATATAAAGTTGATGGCCCTTTTCTATGGTCCTCTTCCCACCCCCACTAAAAAGCCCAAGAGGCTCTATTCTTCTTCTAGAGTTGAACCAGTAGGAATCGTAACATGGTATTATGACCTTTGCCCATCTTCTATTACAGCTTTTCCCAATCTGGAATCCACTGAATATATTGGGATTACAGCTCCTGAAATTCCCAGCTGTCTCCTAGGGAGTGAACATTTGCTATTGAGCATCTTTCCTCTTGGGTCCTGGATTCAAATCCTATCACAACTGGGGGGGGGGGGATGGCTGCACAATCTTAGTTTAGAAAGGTATCCTTGGGTGCTTTTAAATATCATTTTTATTCCCAATTGCTAGTAGAACTGCTGTACGCAGGTCACGGAAGGGACAATTGAAGATATCCTGCTGTTCTTCACACTTGAGCCTTTCCCAACTAGACCCATCTTCCAGACCCCTTCTAGTGCACAGAGTGATCGAACTTGGCTGGAAAGGGAATCTCTACCCTCACTGTTTTGGCTTCATGGCTTGAGGTCAAACCTTGAGCCAAATTGGGGTTACAAAGCATGTTAACAAGGGAAAGAAATGGCTCAGTTCTTTCCCTGCCAACCTGCTTGGTATAATGCTAATAAAAATCTGCCTTTCCATGAAAATGCAGACTACTGATCTCTTAGCATGCTGATATTTATATTTGCAGGTTTATTTAATCCCTTTTATGGGATTATTTCCAAAGTTGGAGGAACTAGCTACACACTGCCAGAGCACACAGATTAGTTTGACCGGGGGGAGGGGGAGACTATTGCAAACAGATGTCATAAGTCCCATCCATTCCATGCCTGTATGTCCAGGAGCCAAGCAGTTCACAGCTAGATGACAGTAGAACGTCCAGCTCTGCTGATGTCCGCGGAAATGTTCTGGCTTCCCTTCTGAAGCCCCAGTTACATTTCTCCCCCCGCCCCAAGAACTACATTAGTTCGTTTCATGTGTCAGATTGCCCCCCCCCCCGCAATGTATCAGTAGTTCCCCATGATATGTCACAATTCTGACATCCTCGATCCTTACATTTTTCTTCTGTTTTTCATATTATACTTATAATTTGAATGGAATACAACCTTCCAGGGAAAGTTACTCCTTATTTCTGAAGCTTTGAAGTTGCTTCAACAGGGACAGGTGTATCAACCATACATTGCTGGTATAATTTTAAGACTATGCAAATGTAGATTAGAAAATTATGGGACTGTACTTTTTTAAATTTCTTTTTTAGAGCTGCCATCTACCACAATAGCTGTAAATACTGGATACTCTCCTCCTGTCTCAGTCTTCCCTAGTGAAAATACAGTGACAGATACAGAAAGGTAAGATTAGAAATACGCAGAGCAAGTGACAGGAGTTCCTAGAAGTTAAGGATCTAAGGCAGGGGTTCCTAAACTTCTTACCATCAAATCTCCCTAGAGTGTAATCTTAATGTACACACCTCCCCTAAAAATCCAAACATCAAAATGAACACAAATGAACAATGAAAACAATACAATGAAACTTTGGGAAAAGTGAATTTATTGTAACAGTGCACAACTAAACAGTTCTTCACACCTTCCCTGGACTCTGTCTGCACCTCCCCAAGGGAGGCATACCACATAGTTTGGGAAAGCCTAATCTAAGGGCATATTCGCACTTACCGTTTCAGATGTTCCTACCCTGTGCTGATGGCAAGTGAAGTTGCTTTAAAAAACACATTCGGACTGACACACTTTGCCAGCAGCTTGCAAAATATTTAATCCAGGCTGCCCTGACCTCCCATTGGAGAATTCCCCTTGTGTTGTACCCTCCCACTTTTCTGTTCCAAGAAAACAGTGGCCACTCACTTCCCTTCCAGTGAGCAGATCTTCCTGAACACGTATACTTTTATATGTGTATAACGTACATACATATGTAAAAAAAAGTATCTGTACAAAGTACAGTCAAATTGATACACACAGTGTTAATACACAAACATATATACACAAAGTTAATGCACAAAAAGGCAGGTATAACAGCTCTCTTTAAAAGACAAGTTTCGTTCTTCGTCCATTTCTGGACCTCTAATTTTATCAACATTGCTAAAATAGCTCTCAGGTTAAGATTTGTGGCTAGTATGTAAGAGGCTGCTGATTTCATACCCAGCAGGAACATATAATATATACACGCATACTCATTTCATTCCTTCGGCTGGCTAGCTAGCTTTCCCTAGCTAGCTGAGGGCTTTTAAAAAAAAAGTAAGCAGAAGGTTGCACCCGTCTCTCATTTCTCTGGAGAATGAGGGAACCATACAATCCTCCACTGTTAGCTAGAGAAAGCTAGCTAGCTGGTGAAAGGAAAGAAAATAGTAATTTTAAAAAATTCTCTGGGGTTTCATACAAGCAACCTCTTACATAAGACAAAAAGCTTTTACCCACTGTACGATTTTAGCAAAGATGAAGAACTTTTAGAGATCACGCTATTGTTCAGGTATTCCTGCCCCTGTAAATTTCTGGGGTTAGCCGAACCAAAATGGAGAAGAGAACTCAAAGCGGCATAGGAGAAAAAGACTATTTCCAATAGTCTTCCAATATGGCAGGAAAACATACCTGGAGACCAGTTCTGCAATGGAAGGGAGGTTAGTAAAGACTGACATCTGTTTCTGCCCTCAGAAAATGGTTGCTGTCCTGTTCTGGCAACAGGTCAACTAGGGTAAAGAACTGCCAAAATCATACTGAGGGCATGATTTCTGTTTGTGGTTTCCAACATCCCTGAGTTTTGTAGTCTGTAATTAGATCTAGCCTGTGCAAAAAAAAATGATGATTAAGCACCAAGTAGTAAATATGGACTTTTTCATACTGAACCTCTATTCCAGCATTTAGTGGATAAGTTTGTTTTCCTTATTTTAAATTGGTCCTCTACATGGAGGACACCTGCAGGGGAAGAAGAACTAGCAGTCTAAGGATTAGGAATAAAGCCTATATGGATTTTGAGCAGCAAGGGGTTAACTCTTAGTACATCAGCGGAAGTAGGGAGTAAACAAACATTTCTTTTTAGAATTAACAGACTTCATCTGTAGAAAATCTCTATATAATCCTCCCATGGAGGATGGCTCCAGTGCCATCCAATTTGGCACTGGATGGCACTGGATGGCACTTTTTAGAATTAACAGACTTCATCTGTAGAAAATCTCTATATAATCCTCCCATGGAGAAGTTCCCAGTGCCATCCAGTTTGAATGAATCTAGTTTATTCATTTGAATAACACCCAAAGCCATACGACAAACAACCACAGGGAATGCAACCAGCAATGTCTCACGTATCTCTCCATTTCTGTCCCAGAAACCTCCTTGATCCCATAATCGTGCTACCACTGGTTTTTGCAGCACTGATGCTAATTTTAGGAGCTTTGCTGTTCACATGGAGACTAAAGAAGAAAAAAGGTGAGAAATTTGCAAAAAGCGCCTTCATCTTGATTGTTTCATTCCTTAAGTCAGAAGTGAACCATGTTTGGTGGCTGGGGGACATCTTGTACTTTTTAAAAAATTTATATTTATTAAGAATTTTACATAAAGTAAAAGACAACTCGGAAGAAAAAGAAAAAAAAGGAAAGAAAGAAAAAAGTGCAAGAAAAGAAAAAAAGAAAAGAAACTAAAGTTATGACATATAATGACTTCCGACCTTCTCTTCAACTGATAATTACAATTTTATAATTCCTTCTCCCTCTCAGATGTTATAAAAACCCTTTCAGCCCCTCACTTAATCCACATCTTTTTTAATCTTCCAACCCATAAATCATCATATCATTTTTTCTTCTTTCAGCAAAAAGTCCATATAAGGTTTCTAATCTTTCAGAAAAGGTTTTGTTGTTTTTTCTCTGACCAAACAGGGCCATCTCAGCAAATTCTGGCATTTTCACAGTCCACTCCTCCACTGTGGGAATTTTATTGTTCTTCCATCATTGAGCATACAATAATCTTGCTGCAGTGACCATATACAAAATCAACCTCCATAAATCTTTTCTAATTCCTTGTCCATAAGTCCCAATAAAAAGAGTTCTAGTTTCTTCACAGTATTTATCTTTAAAATCCTTTGCATTGTCATATGAATTTGTATCCAAAAATTTCTGGCTTTCCCACAAGTCCACCATATATGATAAAATGTCCCCTCATGTTTTTCACATTTGCAACACTGGTTTGAAATATTTTTGTACATTTTTGATAATTTCTCTGGTGTCATATACCAATGATACATCATTTTATAAAAGTTTTCTCTTAAATTATGACACAATGAGAATTTAATATTTAATTACCCACATTCTCTCCCAAGTGCCCCTCTGTATATTATATCCAAAATTAATAGCCCGTTTTGTCATGCAATCTTTAACCTGTTCTTCTATTTCAAATCTTAACAGAAGTTTATACTTTTTTGCTATTACTGTTCATCACTTATACATAATTCAATTTCAAATTCCGTTTTGTGTTTTTCCATTCCAATTGTCTTTTTATCCATATTAAGCCTTTCTTTCAAATGAGCATATGAAAATCATTGAAAACTATGTTCTTCTGCAGTCAATTGTTCTCTTAACTTCATCTTAAATTCTCCATCCTCCTATATTAATAAAACTTGATATGTTAGCCATTTCTCCCTATCTGCTGTTTCTCTTCTATAAAATGCTTCTTGTGCCGAGGTCAATAAAGGTATTTTTGGGCACAGCCTGGGCGTGTATTTATTCCATACTCTCAATATGGCACTTCTCACATAATGATGTTTGAAATCTACGTTAACTTTATCGTACCATAAAAACCCATAACATCTTGTACTTTTTTAAAGGGAGATCCACAAGGTTGCAAAATAGGAGAATGAATGGCAGTTGAACTCAACAGTGGGGAGTGCTAAGGTCACAAATGAGTAAAAAACATTTTATTCCTGTCATAAAAAGAAAACAAAACAATTTGGTAGCCTTTAGTAGCCTTTTCCTTCCTGCTCTCCCTGTCTCCCTCTAAACCCTTGTCTTTGTCTACCGTGAACTGAACAGAAGTTCTTTGGAAACTACCTACTCTGTACTCTGTGCAGGACAGAAGATATAATTTTTATTAGGAATGTTCACATAGGTGAAAAATAAACATGAAATAATGCAAAGTAGGAAAAAGAAAAGAGGAAACGATAAAAGAAAAAGTGCAAAGAGTAATACCGATAGAAAAAAAGAAAAGATATATAAAGAAATGACTTCCAATCTTCTTTACAGCAGTTACTAACAATCTTATTGTCTCTCAACCCTCTTTAAAATTACATATGATTCTGTTCTTCTCATATTCAACCCTTTTTAGACAGCAAATCCATAAATCAACAATTCATTTTTTTTCCATTTTCAGCAAAACGTCCATAAAAGGTTTCCAGTTTTTTATAAAAAGTACTTGTTGTCTTGTCCCTGACCAAACAGGTCAATTTTGCCATTTCTGCAAATTCCACCATCTATACAATTCACTCCTCCATTGTGGGTATTTCAGTATCTTTCCATCTCTGTGCATACAATCATCTCGCTGCGGCTACTATGTACAAAACCAGTCTTCCATAGGTCTTTTCTAATTGACTATCCATAATGTGCAGGACAGATGATATAATGAGGCTCAGAGGGGGGTGGGCAACCCATAACCAGATATATTTTGCTGAGAATTTATTGTCTGATTTGCCTGCTGATCTGTACCAACAGCAAACATAGTGAAGACACAAATGCAAGCAGTTAGGAAGCTAGCTAGTAGGTTAAATGAAATATTGCCTAGATGGTTGGGGTCCTGCAAAGATTTTCTTCTTTTCCCTCTTAATTTATATTCTGTCTTTCTGGTCAGTGCAGTTGAGGCCAGCAATCTTATAGTTCTCTGCAGCTTAATAAATTAAAATGTTAGCATTCTCAACATTTAATAGTGGGTATATTGAAGAATTTAATCTCACATATTTCCAAGTGCAGATATTTGAAAATTGCTGTGGGTCTCACTGCTGCTGCGATGGGTTCCCAACTGTAGCTTTAATCAGAAAAAGAAAATGAACCACATAAAACAGTCTAAGCTTCAATAGCCAGTCCAAGACAGTCCTTCTGTTGTGTGGAACTCTGTATAGATGCTCCTGTAGTTATGGAGGACACATTTCTAAAAGTACAACCACTTGGTATGGTGGCACGTAATTCAACCATTATCTCCTTACTGTTTGTTTATATTAATGAGTTATTTTTCTGATCATCACTTCTATTTATAAAAGAGCCAGGAATCTGAGTAACATCTGCCTAAATCCATAATTTGGAGAAGTGTAATTTCCTAAGAGATAAATCTAATTTTAAAAAAAGTTGGTTAAATCATAAAAACTTACTCAGGGCCAAAGGAAGGAAATGAAAACCATACAACTAACATTCATCTTTTTAAAGTTGCTGCAATGTGGCATCAACATCCTAATGCATATGTGTCAAACTCAAGGCCCGCGGGCCACATCCGGCCCGGCGTGTAATTATAT